TAGAGACTGAACCTGTGACAAGGCCGGATGTGTCACCAAGTCTGGTGAGATTTGTGGAGGGAAACTGAGGGAGACCTGAACCGGACTCCCGCCTAAGCCCTGGAAAGGGGCCTCCTGGCAGAATCCAGTCTCCAGAGGAGCTATGGGCTTCCTGTGGGGCCCAGGCTGTTCCACCTACAAGATGACCTGTGGTGCCAGAGAGCATGAGGGCCATTCTGTCCCTTCCTAACTTCCTGGTGAGATTCATGGGCCCTCTGCCCCTCGTTCCCTCTCTGAACCCCAGAAGCTCTGTGGGGAAGCCCCTGAAATACAAGGTGGGGTTTGGGGAGGAGACAGGTCCCTACACCATTCCTCTCCTTGAAAGTCTTCCCCAGGGAACATGTAGCGCAGGGCAGTTCTTCAGAGACGCCCCTCAATAGAAAAGCGACACAAATGTTCAAGTCCCAGGGACCCAGTGGGCCAATGCGTTTACCTGCTGGCAGCAACTCTCCTCCCTCCTGACCGGCCTTCCTGCTCACCTCTCCTCTCCTCATCACCCCTCCTCTCCCCCTCCCTCTGCTCCCACCTTCTGGGGCATTTCCTTGTCATCCCTTATCCCAGGGACAGCCTCCCACTACTCAGGGGCCACGCAGAAAACTGTTCTGCCTTGTGCAGATGCTGCCTTTCCACGGGCTCCTTCCACGGAGCCTCGTCTTAATATCCGCCATCCAGCTGTATCCTGCTCCAGGTAGGAGCCATCAAGCAGGCAAGACTGACCCTCCCTGGGAGCAGAAGGGGCTCTGGAGTAGCCACCGCAGAGATGTTATGAGGATTGAGCCCGGAAGCAGATATGAGCAGGCACATGGTGGCTACTCAATAAACACTACGCCTAGGCCAGGGGTCCTCAGCCCAGCTGCAGCGAGAGTCTCCCGGGCAGCTCTGTGCCCAGCTGCAGGGAGTGATTTAACTTGGGGGCTCCAGAGCCTTTCGCTTAAAGCACCCCGGCAGCTGGCAAAGAAATCGACAGCCTGGGCTTCATCTGCAAAGACTGGCTGGGCTGTGGGAGGGGCAGGGCCCCAGCGGGCAACACTGAGGCCAGTGCAGGTGGACGCCAGGTTGCAGGGAGCAGGGCACCTGCCCAGGAGAAGGATGAGGACTGGGTCATGAGCAGAAGGAATGGGAGGCTGTGGCTTAGAGCCATGCAGGGGAGGAGACGGATCAGGCAAGGGGGCCCAGCCACATGAAGCCTGGAGCAGTTAGTGTTGGCTGGCCGGGCGGCCCGACCAAGGAACATGGGAGACAGTGAGAGGCAGTGGGCACCTGGGCGCTTCATGAGGCGGGGCTGACGTACTGAAAATGGTACTCCACCAGGGTGAGTGGAGTAGAAGGGGTTCAGACAGAGGAAAGGACTTAAGGAGGCCCTTGTGGTGGTGTGTGGAACGGGGAAGTGAGACTCCAGGACATGGTGATGGAGCGGAAGGAGAGGAAGCCGAGTCACAGTCCACATTGTGGGCCTGAGTGATAGGCCTCAGGCAGAAATGGGCAAGTGGGGGTGACACCCTCTGTGGAGCTGATGGCCTGGGTGGGCCATGGGAGGTGATGGCAGGACGTTCAGGGGCAGGGGCCTTTGAGTGGTCACAGAGGTGGAGGCCTGGCTGGAGACAGGGCAGGGGCAGCCAAGGCCCAAAGGATGCAGCTGCTTAGTGAGGTAGTGCTGGTCCTGGCACCGTGAACCTCGTCACTCCAGGGGACCGTGGGGCGAGAACTGTGCGGGGCAGCCGAGCGAGTCCAGTGCTTGCTATGGCCATGCAGCAGCGGCCTCCCTATACCACACTGCCAGCTCACTTCAGAGTCAGACCTCATGCCCAGTGCTGGGGTACCGGGCCATACCCCACAATACCTGCTGAGGTTGTCTCTGCCTCCCTGTCTCAATCACTCTCTCCCTCTCCCCATTATCTCAACTCT